AAAAAAAAAGGCGTTCACTGGAAAACAAATTCCATTAGCTTTTCATGGACCTTTCCAGTAAGGCCAAAAGGAGGAGATAGGATTTAGTCTAAGGGAACAGAAGAAGAATGTTAAACATCCATTGAATATGGTGTTTGTCCAAATGGAAAACACCAATATTTAAATCCTGCACAACACCCTGGTCATAGATGTATCTGTTGATATCCTGTTCTTCCTTTTGGATCCAGAAAATGTAACCTTAAAAGGGACCCTCTTGAGATGCAGTGGTAATGTCCCTACCCATGTATGATAAGGCCCAGGTTCAAGTCCCACCTGTTCCAGAGGTGTCTAATAACATCTCTTAACAGGGCTCATTAGAAAAATAAGTTAAAGGAAAAATTGTAACTCTAAATTTAGTCATTAAAATAATTTTTTGGAGTATGTGCACCGAATTTTGCCAAGGTAAGAGATAACCATTTTGGAGGTAAATAATTTTGTTGAGCAATGGTGCTTATTAACTGGGAGAAAACCCTTTTGGATTTTGTTATAAATGATCTTTAAACCTCACCAAGCTTATGATTAAACACCTAGCTAACATGGGAGACAATAACAATGCCCTCTTTCTGTTACTAATGGACTGGATGTAATTGGCTTTGTGAATCTTTGGGTAAAGATCTTGATCTTTTTGTGACAAGTTACAAGAGGTGTTGTTATTCTGACTGTAGCTGACCCTCATTGAAAATCCTGAGACATTGAAGTATAATTTAATATGTTCCTTTCTTGAATCGATAAATATGTGCAAAGTAACTGAAGGAATATTCTAAAATGTTGTTTTGGTACTGTGTACAATATTCAAGGTTAATGTACCTTTCAATCAGTTAAACCACTGCTGTCGTATCGAACTTGCAACTCGATTAGAGTATAAAATCTGTCAAGTTAAATTCTGCAATTAAACTGCATGCTATATCCATATTAACAGCTTCCAATAACTAACCAGAGTTCATTTTAGCCTGGTTAGTTCCACTCTACAGGACCCAATACAAGCTAACAGGGCAACAGCTTTTACAAGAATGAGAGTTCTTTATTTTTCGACTTTCTTACTACTGCAAATTGCCAAACAGAGAAAGTTATGCCCTCATGCCCAATAAGAGTACTTGATGGCCATGTTATACCAGAGATATATAGGCATTGAACACACAAGACAGCTGGTATGCAACATGACTCTGTGTCCTGGCTAAGGATGAATCAGGATGTTCAACAACTTGTGAATCTATGTGAGGCATTCCAATTCCAAACTTATTAACCCTAGCTATGGAAGGAGCCTATACATCCACATCATGTTCCGTCCTGTCATTGGAAGAAAATAGCAACATGTAGCACACAGGGAAGATTACATTGCTTTTATAAATTATGATTTATTTCTCTAAATTTCCTTTTGTTCAATGATTTAACAACACAATGATTTCAACTGTCCTTGACACAATGAGCACTTTTTCAGTTTATTTGCTATCCAAATCAGATCGTATCTGACAAAAGACCACAGTACACCAGCTAGCCATTTTAATGTGTGAATTAAGTGGAGAGTAATCCATATCACACTGTCACCCCACTATCCACACTCAAATGGTCAAACAAAACTTTTGGCGTGCAATATCAAATTTAGACCTGGAATCCTTTTCAGTTCTCATGGCCTAGGAATTTATTTTCGATTCGAATGGCTTAAACCTCTTTCCTCAGCTTGGCAAACTCACAAACGTACCTGTCCTTCTTCTAGTTTGAAATAGTTCCCTTGAATCTGAAGGAGGGTCTAGGCCCAAAACGTCAGCCTTCCTGCTCCTCTGATGCTGCTTGGCCTGCTGTGTTCATCCAGCTCTACACCTTGTTATTCTGATGAACCTGGTCTGTGCCTCCTCCAAAGCCAACATAACCTATTCTGAGATTCACTACTAGAAGTTGACTGTTTATATATGATACTCTCCTAAGTGGAAGCCTTCAGTGGAAGTTAGCAGAAATTTAAATTTAGAAAATGAAATTCTGACTTTTTGTCAAATTATGGTGAACTGGAAGTATTAAATCACCAGCCACCATAGAAAGGTGACAGCACACTTAGAGGTCATTCAGCTCATCATGTTTGTTTCTGATTGGTTAGTTACCAACATTGACATAATCAAACACTGTATGGCCAATTGCATGGTGCCACACAGATTTCCCACCCTTACCTTATTTTTTGTAGCAAAGGTTTGACTTTAAAAAAGTTGTTGCAGCGACTGTGGCAATGTTATTGTTCCATCACCTGTTAATACTACCACACTCACTATTTAATTCAAGTGAATAGTTTCTGGCATTAAAACTTCCACGAAAGTGTTGATAAATTCATAACCAAACTCAAAAATGTCCCAAATAAAAACCAAAAGAACTGCAGATACTATAAATCAGAAACAAAAAGACATGTTGCTGGAAAAGCTCAGCAAGTCTGGCAGCATCTGTGAAGAGAAATCAGAGTTAACATATCAGATCCGGTGACACTTCTTCAGAACTGATGATAGCTAGGAAAATGTCAGTTTATCCGCAGAAGATGGGGTGCAGGGGTGTGGTGTGGGTAAGGAGTAAACAATAGGTGGGGCTAGAACCTAAAAAGAGAAGAACAAGTTGAACAGACAAAGGAGTGGATAACGATGTGGCTAGGAGGCTGAATAGCTATTAATGGACACTGTTAATGGCTAAACAATAGGTAGTGTGTAATGGCAAACTATGAGATAACGAGGCCTGGTGTGTGGGGTGGGGCTCTAGGACAGTGGAGAGTTCAGGCCCTTAAATTACAGAACTCCATATTGAGTCCAGAGGGCTGGTGGGTTCCCAAGCAGAAAATGAGGTGTTGTTCTTGCAGCTTGCACTGAGCTTCACTGGAACACTGCAGCAAGCCTGAGACAGAGATGTTGGCCAGGGGACAGGGTGGTGTGCTAAAGTGGCAGGCAACTGGAAGCTCAGGGTCTATTTTTTGTGGGGCAGAAGAAGATGTTCTGCAAAGCAAAGCAGTCACCCGGTCTACGCTTCATTTCCCCAATGTAGAGGGGGACCACATTGCGAGTAGTAAATACAGTAGACTAGCTTGTGAGAAGTGAAAAATATCCCAGGGTGGGGTTCAAGGAAATGGGAGGCTTAAAAGTAAATGCAGAATAATTTTAAAATGAAAGGGACTGGTGTGTGAGTATATCAAGTACAGAAGCTGCAGGTGCCAGAATCCAGCAGTTCACTCCACTGGGGACATGTAACGTACGAAATGCTTAAGACTTTGCATCAGCGACACTAAAGTACTTACCCTGCTCTCAACATCGATCGCCAGCCCCAAGAAAGCTGCACTTCGTACTGAGCCTGAGGCTCGGTTCCGTGGCATCAGACGGTTCTTGTTAACAGATGCATCAGGGCGCTGAAAGATCCTGCGGGAAGCGGGAAACAAGATGCCACCAGCTGAAAAGCTTGCAGGATCTGGGTGTGAGCAATCCCCCAGTAAATGGGTATGAAAGAGCTGCCCAGCGGGGACTCAACAGAACTACCCAACACCTTAAACACTCTGAGAATATCTTATTAACTTTCTCGGGGGCTCTTAATAGTGATGGAGAGATTATTAAAATGTATAGAACGTGTTTGATCATCTGTTATCAGCCATTAGAAATTTAAACGCTCCACAGCCATTGGAGTGTATTTGAAGGCACTGTTTTTACACGCAGTCTATCCTTTGTGTTCAGCAAGCTCACGATAAAAATTAAAATTATGTTAAAAACTATTTTTTAAATAAAGTAATAAAATAAAATGTGAATTATTTGCTTTTCATAGTCACCAATCATGGTTTGTACAACCTGCGATAATTTAACTGTATTTCCGGAACCACATTCCTTTGTCTCATAATTACATTGTTGTTAGTGTGTGAGGTTAAATCTCTGGGCCAGTAATGCATGGATTGTGTTCAATGAAAGGGTTTATCCACAGATATTGTTCAAACTTGACACCTGATTAATGCTTCGCCGGCACTGCATCCTGATCCAGGAATTTTAATCAGGTATTATATCGCTGTAGGAGCCCATCACCCGAGTTTTAGTTGAGACTCAGCCCCCAAAATTTAAGGGTTCCCTGTCAATGACTGTCAGTATCTGAAATTAAAGAGAAATGGCAGAGGTATTCTTCCTGCCAAAAATGGAAAATCTCAATTAACCAAATCACGCTCTTGCACCAACACGCACGACTGAGGAGAGCGCGTAGGCCATTCGGTCCCTCGAGACTTGTCTATCATCAGTCATGCAGCACGGAGGCAGACCTTGGGTTATGCCTAACATAATCCCAAACGAAAGTAGTCCCAATTGCCTGCTCCTGGCCCATATCCCTCCAAACCTTTCCTATTTATGTCCTTATCTAAGGGTCTTTTAAAGGTTGCAACTGCCACGTCCACTACTTCCTGCGGAAGTTCACTCCACACGAACCACCCTCTGTGTAAAAAAAATTGTCTCTGGTGTCTTTTTAAAATCTCTCTCCTCTCGCCTTGAAAATATGGCCCTGAGAATTGAAATCTCCCATCCTAGGGAAAAGACATCTACCATTAATCCCTATCTATATCCCTCATGATTTTATAAACTTCTATAAGGTCACCTCTCAACCTCCCACACTCCAGTGAAAAAAGTCCCAGCCTATTCAGCTTTTCTTTTTAACTCAAGCCTTCCATACCTGGCAACATCTTGGTAAATTTCTTCTGAACTCTCTCTAACTTGAAAATACCCTTCCTTCTCACTATTGCACACAGTAGTCCAGGACAGGCCTCACCAATGTCCTGTAGAACCTCCACATGACTTCCAAATTCCTATACCCAATGGACTGAGCAATGAAGACAAGTGTGCTAAATGCCTTTTTAAATACCCTGTCTGCCTGTGATGCAAACTTCAAAGAATTATGTACATGAACCCCTTTGTCTTTCTGTTCTACAACATTACCCAAGGCCCCACCATTAATTGTATTGGTGCTGCCCTATTTGTTGTACCAAAGTACAATACCTCACCCTTATCCACATTGAACTGCATCTGCCATTTTTCAGCCCATTGATATATTTGATCAAGATCCCTCTGTAATCTTAGAAAAACTTCTTCACTGTCTGCTATGTCGCCAATTTTGGTGTCGTCCACAAACTTACTAATCATGCCTTGTATATTCTCATCTGCATTGTTTATATAAATGTCAAACAAAAGATCATGGCTATTCTGCTTGTGACCTCAAGTCCACTTTCCCTTCTACTTATTTGAATCACTTGTCAATCAAGGTCTAATGTAACTCAGCCTTAAATATGTTAAATGAACTAATCTGTTTTCCAGGGAGAAGAAATCCACAGATTAAAGACCCTCAGAATTCACTCAGTCTTTAGCAGGCATAGGTTTCAGGTGAAGGGGAAAATTTTAAAAAGGACCTGAGGAGTGACTTTTTGATGCAGAGGGTGATGCAAGTATGGAAGAGGAAGTGGTGGAGGCGGCTACAATGACTACATTTAAGAGGCATCTGGATGGGTACATGAATAGGGTGGATTAGAGGGTTATCGGCCAAATGCTTTCAAATAGGACTAAGTCGGATTGGAACTATCTGGTCGGCATGGACAAGTTGGACCAAAGGGTTTTTTTCCGTGCTGAACAACTCTGTGACTCTGTAATTGAGATACTCCTAAATTTTTCACTGTGTCCCCTCGTTCTAGGCTATCCACACACAGAAAAAACATTCTCAATTTCCACCCTGTCAGATCGCCTCAGGATTTTATATGTTTTAATACAAACACCTCACTCTTTGAAACTCCAAGAAGCATGAGTCCTACCTGCTTAATCTTTACTCATAACATTACAAAGGAATCAGACAAATGAATTGCTTTCAATGCAATTATATGCTTCACGTAATGACACCAAAACACTAGAGAGATCTTTAAATGCTATCTCACAAAGGTGTTGTACAACTCTCACAATACTTCCCTACTTCATGACAAAAATATTCCATTTGCCTTCCTAATCACTTGCTAGACCTGCATGCCAATGTCTTGTGATATATATACTAGGACAACTAGATCAGATCCTGCTGTACCATAAGAGTTCTGCAGTCTCTCTCCATTCAAATAAATCATTGTTTTTCTTTTCCATAGAAAAGGAAGTCAAGATTTGACTGCATTAATTGATGCATAATCAATTGTCATAATGTATATGATTCAATATTATTTTCTTGGTAGATTACTTTCTCTCACAGCGCTGGTGTGCACATTAACATGTTGAACAGCCTGAAGTTAATAACCAAGACCGTGGCATTAGGCCTCTTAATCCTGCCCTGGCTCAGCAGTAGCTCTTTCACTACTGAATCAGAGTTCATAAATTCAGCCTCCACCCTGGAGGTTTGATCACATTTATGCTGATACTCTAATGCTGTATTGAGACAGTGCTGCATAACTGGAGGTTTCAGCTAAGACTTGAAAACAAGTTCCTGCCTATCTCCTGAGGTAGACAGGAAAGAGACCAAGCTCCAAGAGAATAAAGAACTTCTCCTGGTGTCCTGGCCAATGTTTATCCCTGACAAGGCCTCCCTGACTTTTTGTGGGAATTTTCTGTGTATATACTGTTGTAATGTAGGAAGTGAGGCAATGACAACACTTCAAATGCATTTAATTGACAGAGTTGCTTTGAAATGTCTTGAGGTCATGAGAAGAAATGCTTAATTACAAGTCTCTATTTTCTTTCGTTGTTCATTAATACTTTCTATTTCTTTCTTGTTTCTGTCTGGATTCCGGGCAAAAATTTGTTATATATAATACTTAGATAAATTAGTTGAAATTTGATCTTAAATTTTAAATGTGAGTCATAGAAATACCATGACATTCCCATAAAGAAAGCACTCATGAGCAATTTGATGCAACTCTTACTAACAGGCGTCCTCATTATTCGAATACATTGTCTTATCCATACATGCTGTCATCATATTAATTACAGGATAGAAACTCTTATGAATAGGATCAACACGCACCACCAACTTTAAGGTAAATGTCATTTGTAGCTGCAATACTTAATTGCACATTCTCTGTATGACAGTGCAAAATCTATTCCCCGCCCATTGGGTCATCATGTCTCATCTTATTTCCTCCTTGCCGCTTAAAGTAATTATTATCTGCTCTGGGATGTCCATTAACCAGCCCATAATAAGTTCAAAAGCACACAAGAAGCACAAGCTGAAACAATATTGTAAACTGATTTCGAATCATATGTCATCAACTTGAAACTTTAACCCTATTTGTCTCCCCACAGATGCTGTATATTTCAAGCATTTTCTATTTATTCAGATTTCTAACATCATAATATGTTGCTTTTTTAAGTTGTGTTAGCTGATGTTCAGGAACAAAAAAAAATTGCTGGAAAAACTCAGCAGGTCTGGCAGCATCTGTGAAGGCAAAAACAGAGTTAACGTTTCCGGTCGGGTGACCCTTCCTCAGAACTGGATGATGTTCATCTTGATCTAATATACATTAGATAGTAACAGTTATAGTACCAGAGAACAAGAACAATTTGGATTTTACATAATGACTTTAAAACATCCTAAGGTGTTTCAGAGGAGCATTATCAAACAAAATTTGACACCAAACCACATAAGGAAGTATTAGGACTGTTGAACAAAAGCTTACACAGGCATAGGGTTTAAGGAACCTCTTGAAAGTGGAAAGTGAGATAGAGAGACAGAGGTTTAGTGAATAAATTCCAGTGTTGAGAATTTAGCGGCCAGAAACTCTCTGTCAACGGTGGAGTGATCAATTTTTTGAGGAGTGCATAAATTTCAAAGGATTGTAGGAGGAGATATAAGAGGGAAAGGTGAGACTATGGAGGAATCTGAAAACAAGAATGAGACTTTTTTTTAAATTGAGATGCTACAGGATCATGAAAAAGTGTAGATCTGTTAACACAAAGGTGACCAGAATTGTACTCTGGAACTCAGAAGTGCCAAACACCAGACAACAGATTGTAACTAAAATCAAAGTAACGAGGGAGCAATCAAAACTAATGACTTGAGATTGTTCAACAAAACTTCATATCAGATTAAACTCATAAGCATACAGATATAAAAAAACAATTATATACTTTAAATTAAACAGCAAGAAAGAAATCCAATCACTAATTAAAAGTAAATTTATGACTGAGAACAAGATTTTTCTTCATTCAAAAAGGAGGCAAAAACCTTTAAGTTACCTGAAGATAAATGTGTAAAATGTGGATGTCTTTCAATTAAGGTGGCCTGAAGCCCACAGATGAGTTATCACTCATACTTAAACCAATTAGGAATACACAGTTAACACTGAATTATATCTCAAATTAGGATCAAAAACTGTAGTTTCATGGAAAAGCTCAGCAGGTCTGGCAGCATCTGTGAAGAAAAATCAGAGTTAATGTTTCGGGCCTGGTGACCCTTCAACTCTGATTTTTCTTCACAGATACTGCCGTACCTCTGAGCTTTTCCAGCAACTTCTGTT